TGCGACACCGGCAGCCACGCAGTGAGGCACACGGCAACACCAACAAGGCAACTACACTGCAAGCGACGACAGGGCAAGTGGACAAGCAGCACGACAACCATACAGTGAAGCACAAGGCAAAAGAGGGCAACTGAACCACAAGGGACATAACCGAAGGACACGGAAAGCACGGCCTACAGATGGGTGGCAAGGCAGCGGAGCAGCAAAGCACAAGGCAACATCAAAGCACGGTCACACCACATACCAAACACAGCAGCTTGCCAAGAACGACATGGGAAGCAAGCGGGACGGGCAGCAAGGAAGCAGTGGAGCGCAGACGAGGCAGTCCACACATCCAACACGGAGCAAAACAGCACATGACCTGCTCACATCATGGGCGAACCCGCAGACTGCTGATTCCCACCATCCACTGAGTCAGGGAGTCACACAGACGAACACCCGTCATCACCCACAAGAGACACAGGCAACCCAAACTGAGTGCCCCCCCAAAGATTGTTGCAGGCATTCCAAAGGAGGAATGACCGACTGTTTGGCACTGCTTAAGGGTGCTCAGCCAGGGATACTAAAAGTACTTCAAAAATGTAAGAAAGAAAAACCATACATAAAAATGATTATGCGTGTGTGTGTGTGCTTCCATGTTTCCTCAAATGTACCTTTTCCAGCAACGTAGTCGCAGTCCCTATCCAGCATTTGTGAAAGGATTCACGCTGCAGACATCCAAGTCCCTGTCCCAGAGTCCCGAAGTGTCCCAGTCCCAGGCTGTCCCAGTAGGATACTAGACCATAGGGTCTAGAGGCTGAAACATCATATAGGTCGGTAGGTGTCGGTACTGAATCGTCGTAGGTCGGTAGGAGTCGGTCCAGAAGAAGCCCAACCCAGTCTGACAGTCCCAAGTCCAATTTTGCAGCATGTCCCAGGAAAATCCGGAAGCTACCAGACCGATAAAATGTTTACAGCAGACAGGCCGCGACCGACCGGTATTGGTCTGAAGCAGCCCACGCCAAGCCAAGCGAAGTCAGGCCAAGTCCTATATTGAGCTGCTACAGTGCAGTGGCTCGTCACTTGTTAAGTTGCGAGATGCGGAAGCGCTGCTGCTGCTTGTGCATTAAGACAACTTGGGCACTGCACACCCGAAGAAGAAGAAGGCGATCGCAAGCGACTCCATAGCTAGGGTAGGGGTAGAGCAGGAGGACGGCATCCATAGCCGCCAAGGTGTAAGCTTACCTGAGTGGGTGTATCCAGGGTGACGATCTAGGTTAGAGAAAGAGAGAGTGAGGCAGAAGGTGCCCAGTCAGGAGAGAAGCAAGATGGAGAGAGAGAGAGAGAAGAGAGAGAAGCCATAACCGCCACCTGATTGACATCCGCTGTGTGTGTCTGTGGCAGAGCCGCTGAAGACGAACATTCTTGTATATTGATAATAATATTGGAGACGACATCTTTAAATTTTGATTGTATCTCGATTTGGCTTCTCACGTGTGAACTCTCAGACGAGGTTGAACTTGACGAGTAGTTGGCTGATTTCATTCGTAAAACGAGACATTTTTTTTTATCTGTCCTTTCAATGTCCTCCAGGATGAAAGAACGTTATGTCTGTTCCATAGGAGGTCATGTACGCCCCCGGGTCTACATATAGATATGCCCCCTGTGGGCGTCGAGAGCCTGAGGTGAAGGGCTGTATCTGATTCTTGTCTACTTCTTCTTCTTCTTCTTCTTTTTTCTTTGAAATAACTCCACGGGTGACCGCTGCACAGTTTCGAATTCGCAGAAATAACAGTCCACTCCAAGTTTGGGCGAAGACAAGTTCGAAACTGCAAGGAAAACAGTGGAGTATGCGTTCGACGGCCTACCGGTTCAATAATTCGCAAAAACGGGAGGTGGCCTGGGCTACTGGTACCGTTCCCGTGGCCTGGCGTGGCAGGTACCGGTAGCAGGCCCTCCCGTTTTTGGCCTCTGGCGGTTCGGGCGGGTAGAGGTGGCCACCGTGGCCACCGTTTTCGAAATCGGAATGCATGTTCGACTAGAACATGGAAATATACACTGCCACTTTTTCTTTTTTTTGTTTATGTGTGTGAGAGAGAGAGAGAGAGGGAGTGACACACA